GCCAACATTTTATGCAGCAAATCAAATATTTTTGTAGTCAAATCTGGGTCAAAGAAGCAGATTATAATTTCTGATGCATTAATTCAACGAAATCCCTTTTCACCTTCCAAAATGTGGCTATTAAAGACTTCCTCTAAGATAGTATATTAAAGTTATACTAGCTGCTGAAACAACTCAAAATATCTATTAAGTTAAGTCATATAATTATTACTTTATTATTTATCAAAAATGTTCATTTTTTGTTTTATTAAAAAACATTCAAATATTGCCAATTTCATATGGGGCTAGCTAATATAATAGCTCAAATGTGACAAGTGTTTTCTTCTTTCATGAAATCAAGACGTTTCTGATTGGTGGGGAGCTGTCCTCCCCGTCACTGATGATTCAGTGTATAAGGCTTCTTTTACCTTGTAGCTTTTCCATCTTAACACCTGTATTCCAAGATTACTGTTTTTCTGCTCCAAGCCAGCTTTTTGTGTGTGGTGGGGAGCTTGAGTGGTGGGGGAGAGGGAGGAGATTGAAAAGTGCAGGAGGGGGAGGGATTATATAAATCAGGCCTCCAAGTGATGTGTATCACTACCACGACTACTAGTCCATTGACTAGGAGTCAGTCACGTGACCACGTCTAAATACAAGGAAGACTGAGTAACATAAGACTAGTTGTGTACCCAGAAATAAGAGAAAATGGGTCTGGTGAATTGTTGGCTAATGGCTTCCATAAAAATTTCTCTAGTCTCTCCCAGACTTTCCCCCTTGGTATATATGTCTTGAGTCTGTAGTTCGTAAGTGGGCCAGTTTTTGAGGAATGATATTTTCTTTGTTCAGTTTACAAGGAACTCTTGCATAACTTATCTCCAGCATTGAAGAGATCTATAAGATAAGCAGGACTGTTTTTCTTTCATAAATGGAGATACTGGGGCTCAGAGAGGCACAAGTTGACTTGTCTAAATAGATGAAGTGGGATGTGGTGAGAACAGTTCCACAGTAACAGCAAGAACATTTCAGTTAGCTCTTTTTGGCTTATGCAGCACTTTCACATGTATTACATTCTCTGACCTCTGGCCCAGGAAGCTTCTTATTCTGACAGTCAGCTTGTGGGCTTTCCACCATGTCTCCCTGGTTATTAGTATGTTGTTGGCCCAGCAGGTTTTAAGATATAAGTAAGTGCATCTGTTGTCTGACCAATTCATTTGCTTAAGTCAGGCGTTTACCGCTGCTAGAAGTCAGGGGCTTCTCTGATTCTGGGAGTAGGTTTGGAAGGCAAAAGCTGAGTCCATATAGCTCACACGATAGCTTCCCTACACTTTTTTTTTTTTACAAAAGTTTATTTTTACATCATTTTGTACGTTTTTTTTTTCCATCTCAATTATAATCCCCGCGGGTTTCCCATCACCAAGTCACCCGTGTGCCATCACCATAATCCTGTGCATTTCCC